GACGCCGCCGTAGAACAACAGACCGTGAAGATCGCCGCCTAAGATTATTGGCCTTAAGGGACCGTTTCTCCACTACCAGGTCCATTGCAAATGAATGGTTTGCAGAACACGGAAGACCTATTGGCATGCGAAGTGTTTAACTCGAGAACACCGACGTAATCGCCTTGAGTGGTGCAGACAACGGTCACTCTGGGATCAGGAATGGAACAGTATTGTCTTTAGTGACGAGTCTCGATTTTGTTTAGGCATGCACGATGGTCGTGCCAGGGTTAGAAGGCGACGTGGTGAAAGGAGGAATCCACAGTTTTTTGTTGAAAGACATGTTCATCACACTGTTGGAGTTATGGTTTGGGGTGTTATAGCTTATGGTTGCAGGTCACCTTTAATCTTCATCAGATATAACATGAACGCGCAGCGTTATATCCACGAAGTTCTAGAACCCCATCTTTTACCCTATCTTGACACCCTGGCAGATCCAACTTTCCAACAAGATAATGCCCGACCACATGTTGCAAGAGTCACAATAGACTTCTTTCAACATAATGATGTCACATTGTTACCATGGCCACTAAGATCTCCCGACTTATCCCCAATTGAGCACGTGTGGTATATGATGGGTAGGAGATTGCTCAATTTGCAACGTCCTCCTCAGACTCCAGAAGCACTTCGAGAGGAGTTGGTGGTTTCCTGGAATGAGATACCACAGGAGGACATTGACCACCTGATCAGAAGCATGCCTAGGCGCGTTGGAGAATGCGTAGCACATCAGGGTGCATCCACACATTATTAAAGGTCAAAGGGCTTTAAAGCAGTGCAATCATTTTGAAATTTTTATCATTTACTTATTATGCTTCATTAAGTACTTATACAAAATTTTATTAAAATAAAACCATTTAAACTGGGTGTTCGGATTTATATGTCACTTAGTATAGTTCAAATAGTATCTAACACTACAACCGAAAACTAAATGAGAATATTTTAACTGTACAATGTTTGTTTTCGTACTGATATTCTTGTCACTGTCAACAAAAAGTAACAAAACAAGTTTTTATCGCTGTTGCTGTGGATACGGCAAGGAATTACAATTATTTGTAGAGATATGCATGTTAGTTTGTTTGTGTTCAAGTAATTATTAACTGTACCACCATTTTGTAGTAGGTGAAGGTATTGACTTTATATTCTAGGGTTATGAAGTACTCGTCAGGAGCTTCAAAATGATGTGCCACGATTTCATATAATTTTTTTTCCAAGGTGGCGCTCAGCGGTAGAAGATTATCTCTTCTCTTTGTTCAAGGCAATATGACTGCGGCGTGTTATGTTGATGATGTCCTACAAACCACTTTACTGCCGTAGGTGGAGTGCCGACCACTCGTCCATTTTTACTTCAAGAAGTAGTACCGCGTTCACCGGATTTAAATCCCATCGCACATGATTTGCTTTATATAATTTGATATGCAGATGTCGAAGATTCATCGTATCTAAGTGAACCTAACGGATCACGATTCGATTTCGTCTTTCGAAATGATTTCACTCATCCTTTTTCTTTGAATACACTCGCTGCATGACATTGCTGAATCAAAATTTTATGCCCCTGTGTATTATTTTCCCGAGTTCGCTCCAAAAATAGTGCGGAAGATAGCTTTGTCCAAAGTGTATTTTTAGACCAACATAAATCGTAAATTCTATAACTTATTTACCTTGTACGGGTACAAGTTGATCGATAACTGCGCTATTCTCCAGGGGATTCATCCCAATAGTTGCTGCTTCTCGGATGTTTCCTAGATGGCAGGTATATACACAGAGACGTATTCAAACACTTATTCGAAACCGTACTGCATTTCTACATTGTAGGGTATTTGTCTAAGTGTACACATATAACTGATTTACATTGCCGACAAGGAGTTCGAGGATATCGAGGAAAGTGAGTCGCCATTTACATTGTTCCTTCTAGAAATTCTACGATGATTGTTGTGGAATAAGATGAAAGTTACACAAGGATTATATATACTAAGTGGCATAGAAAATGAGTAAATAGCTGAGATAATATTCGCTTATTCGTTAAGTCGTCGCGACGTTGTTTGGATTAGGTGATTGATGTCTTCTTGGTGTATTGTATCCCAGGTCATATCAATTTGGTTTCGTAGAGCGTCCAGGGTTTGTGAAGGGTGCGGTGAGCTTTGCAACCTTCTTCCCATCATGTCCCATACATGTTCGATGGGGGAAGGGTCTGGAGATCGAGGAGACCACTGAAACAGATTGACCCCGGACGCTTCTAAGAAGACCAAACTAACACGTGCATAGTCCTGCTGAAAAAGTGGATCTTGCCATGTTTCCAAAAGGGAAAGACAAATAAAACACCATCGTTTAGAAATGAAAGTTGAAGTTCTGTCATCTGCAGGTGACACTGGGAGTTTAAGAGTTAAGAAATAGTTTTCTTTTAGCTGCACACGTCGTGCCGGATATTTCTCTTAAGTCTTCTTAACATTCCACCTGTCTTTATTTACTTGGCGGCAAGACCGAATTATGGTAGGCGTGTTTTGAATAGAATAACTTTGGACCGTCACATAGTAATCCCTTTATGCGAAAATCTGACCTATTTCAAATTTAATGCCTTAACTAACAAGTTGAACATGGAAACAGGGCTTTGCTTTCACTACTCTCATCATCACAGACCATCAATCTTGAAATTTATGGCGCATAATTCGACGCTACTTTTCTGGAAAGTTTCTGTATTATCCATTTGTTTTTCGTTGAAAAATTTCGGACATCTAAATCTGGATCATAATAAAGAGAGTACGGACTTTCATTTGGTCATTATTGCCGTTTTCAATGCACACCATGGGTTGAGGGTGGAAGCGGGTTCACCTTTCTCCCAGGATTGATGATTTTGTCCTTGGAAGTGATCTTGTAGTAACCTTCAAATGCCCTTGTAGTGACTCATGGTCTAAACTCTTTAAGAGAAAATCTTAAATGACATGTGATGAGTTCAACTGCTCCGCTTCTTTTCAACCTCCAACTTAACTCCGCATTCGGAGTCAGCGACCGAGAAAACCCTGTTTTACTGATAATCCTATGAACTTGTATTTTTTACCAACTTTTCGGTTTTCTGGAATACTGTCTCATTTTTTTTCATTTTATTTAATCAGTGGGATTGGTATCCCTTAGAATAATGATGAACAAAATGAAGAGAGAAACAGACAAAGCAAAACAAAATACGAGCATAAAATGGTAGTGAGTTGTGATCAATACACTTTACTTACCAGAAACCCAAATCACTGGATTTTTCGCAATCCGGAAAAGCTGTACCAAAAACTGTCTGTTGTCGAAATGTTGATACTATACTTAAAATCGGTAGATATTAGAAATAAAATATACAGGGTGACGCATCGAAAACAAAACAGACGCATTTACTGGAAGCTGAGTTTTTTTTTTTGGGAAAACGCTCAGACCCGTCGATTTTGTTTTCGACGGGGACACAAGTTTGGCAAAAAATCACGTTAGCACGTACAGCCCCCTTCAGTTCAGTAGTTTTGAAGATTTATTGATTGATGAATTTGAAGGCACTCATTCACAATTCTTTGTCGCAGGTCTTCTAATGATGTTGGCTGAGTAGCATAGATTTTGCTTTTTAAATGATCCCACATAAAGAAATCCAAAGGTGATTCTATTAGCGCACTGATTATTTCCGAAAAATATTTCGATAATTTCAACTCTTTCTGCTGTGGAATATACCATGGTTAATTTATGTAATAAAGCGTTACAAGTTATTTTAGCAACCAACTTTGGTCAAATCAATCGCAAACTATGTACTAAATTCCTATTTAAAATAAGTACTAGATATTTCCTTATCTTTCTTCAAGAAATAACTTTTTTGCCAAAAAAAGGCTCCAATAGCTATTTTCAACAACAAAATGATAAACAAACCATGGGCGTAGTGAAGAAAAGCATTTACTTATTAAGTAAATTCTTTTAGTCAAATTTCTTCTGAAAGTAGTATAAACTAATCTGATGTACCTATTAAAGTCTACTTTAAGCTTTAAATCAATAAATCTTCAAAACTACTGAACTGACGCTCATGTATTTTACATCATTATAAAGGGAATTGAAAGACCTTTAAAATAAGGTATCACTCGACCCCCCTTTCCATTTAAGATTTTGGGGGTGGCGTCACCCCCGCCCAGGGGGCTGCACGGGTTAACGTGATTTTTTGCCAAACTTGTGTCCCCCTCGAAAACGGGTCTGAGCGTTTTTCCAAAAAAAACTGAGCTGCCAGTAAATGCGTTTGTTTCGTTTTCGATGCGCCACCCTGCATATCTACAAAGCATTAATATGTTATATCTGACAACATTGTACCTCACCTACAATGTTGCCATTCTGCTTAGCTACATGCTTAATATTCAGTCAGACTACAGTACCCGAAACGATTCTAGTTTGTTCAGGGTTTCGTTACTATAGCCAATAAGTATACCTTTAGGAGCTATTGAATGGAGACGATCAAAATATAAAATATCTTCTAAGACTCCCGGAAAAGTATGGAAGATCTCGATACTATATACGAGCCCTGTCTCAGTAGAGTTGGTCTAACGCCCCAAAACATGATATTTGTGAAGAAACTCAAGCCGTAGCTAAGCAGCTTCACTTAACCTAAACAAATATAATAATAAATAAAGTATATATCTACAAAACATTGATATCTGACAACATTGTACCTCACCTACAATGTTTCCATTCTGCTTAGCTACATGCTTAATATTCAGTCAGACTACAGTACCCGAAACGATTCTAATTTGTTCAGGGTTTCGTTACTATAGCCAATAAGTACACCTTTAGGAGCTATTGAATGAAGAAGATCTAAATATAAAATATCTTCTAAGACTCCCGGAAAAGTATGGAAAATCTCGATACCATATACGAGCGCTGCCTCAGCGGAGTTGGTCCAACGCCCCAAAACGTGACATTTGTGAAGAAACTGAAGCCGTAGCTAAGCAGCTTCACTTAACCTAAACAAATATAAACCGAACTTCCGAAAAGACGTTACCGTATAGTCGTATAGATCCCTCTGTCTCTCCGAGCGAATTCTTCGAAATGCACCGATAATTGCCGAAGTCAGCTTCCTGCAAATCCCTGACCGTCAGCTTCATGTGCGTCCTGTAGCTGTTCTCGATCATCTCAGTGGCGTACTTCTTGGAGGGCAGCAGCATAACGCCGTTGTACATCCAATAGCTGATCGCTCTAGGGTTGGCCTCGGCGTGACAGTGGACTGTGACGTCAGTGCCCAACGGGGCGCCCACCAGTTGGTTGGGCACGTATATCATCGGTGAAACTGGAAGAGAATAAACATATGGCCGAATAAGTCTCATCTCCATACCGTTTTGCGGGGTTTAACCGCAACAGAACCTAGTTAATGTCAAAAAACCGCTAAATGTCAAACTGTATGTAGGCCTGTGTGCCGACATGGCTGTGAATCGAGCAACCATTCTCACTGGCGGAGTGAGTAGAAAGATTTCTAATCAATTTAGCATTTACTGTTTTTAATTTGCTTTTAGCTCCTGATGATGGCAGCATAGTCTGTCGAAAGCTTGAGTCAAAAATCTCGAGCTTTCGATGAACTATGCCATAATCATCAGGAGTTACAATAACATTAGGAAAACTAGCAACTACAGTTCAAAATCGATTTTACATTACTTATGAAAAACGAAACCTTTTCCTAATTTAACCTAACATGTATCTCTCAAAGGTATTGAGTTCCTTATGCTTAGGTACTTTATATGCATTTTAATTTGCTAGCGAATAACTTGTTCGGTCATTTCGGATACCGAAATCAGCGCTCGGAATAGCAAACCTCATTTGCCGCACTTATCGACCATTCATCGCTTCGCAGTTTGAAATGCATTCCGTGTTGTGCGAGGAGACAGTGTGCCATGTGGCCCATTCTAGCAACGCCCGGAATTCCCGGATGGATAAGAATGTCCCGCAGGAGAACGGGCCTGATGGTTGATGGGTCGGCCTCGTCAGAGAATAATTTTGCTCTATTAAGCGACCATTGGCTGCTACAGGAATACATCACTCCGTGTCACTTCAAACATTCATATCAATGTGGATATACAGCATGATCGTTGTTAGCATACTAAGTGACATATAAATCCGAACACCCAGTTTAAATGGTTTTATTTTAATAAAAGTTGGTGAATGTATGTATCTTACTGTAAATAACAAGTGAAAAAATGTTCAGCCTTATCAGTTGGACATTCCGGTTTATTCGGAATATTTCAGCCGCAGGAAAGAATCAACGTTGGCGGATTTTGATTCTTGACATCCTTTACAATCGGTTACGATGCCTAGAGTACGGAGACCTGTACGATTTCGTCAACTTAGTGAGTTTGATAGGGGCCGTATAGTGGGACTCCGGGAAGCTGGACTTTCTTTTCGGGCAATTGCAGTTAGAGTGCAAAGAAGTGTAGACACTGCGGTTAGGTGTTGTCAGGCATGGCTTCGAGAAGGCCGTACGCAAAGAGCAAGGGGCACTGGACGCCGCCGTAGAACAACAGACCGTGAAGATCGCCGCCTAAGATTATTGGCCTTAAGGGACCGTTTCTCCACTACCAGGTCTATTGCAAATGAATAGTTTGCAGAACACGGAAGACCTATTGGTATGCGAAGCGTTTACCGACGAATGAGAAGTTTTGGCTTGTTTTCATACCGGCCACACTGGGTCCTCCCTTTAACTCGAGAACACCGACGTAATCGCCTTGAGTGGTGCAGACAACGGTCACTCTGGGATCAGGAATGGAACAGTATTGTCTTTAGTGACGAGTCTCGATTTTGTTTAGGCATGCACGATGGTCGTGCCAGGGTTAGAAGGCGACGTGGTGAAAGGAGGAATCCACAGTTTTTTGTTGAAAGACATGTTCATCACACTGTTGGAGTTATGGTTTGGGGTGCTATAGCTTATGGTTCCAGGTCACCTTTAATCTTCATCAGAGGTAACATGAATGCGCAGCGTTATATCCACGAAGATCTAGAACCCCATCTTTTACCCTATTTTGACACCCTTGCAGATCCAACTTTCCAACAAGATAATGCCCGACCACATGTTGCAAGAGTCACAATAGACTTCTTTCAACATAATGATGTCACATTGTTACCATGGCCACCAAGATCTCCCGACTTATCCCCAATTGAGCACGTGTGGGATATGATGGGTAGGAGATTGCTCAATTTGCACTTGTCACTTAATATATATACCGAGTGATAAAAAAACGTAAACTCCTACGTATGTTTATCCGATTTTAATAATGTTTGGCATATATGCCCAGTGTCCCTTACTAGATTAAAATTTTCGTTCTGGTGCTTACTTAGCCTCATCCGGTGTTCCACAAGGTTCAAATTTGGGTCCTTTGCTGTTCTTGCTATTCATCAATCATTTATGTGAAGATTTGCAGAGTGAGCGTTTATGTTTTGCGGATGATTTGAAAATATATTCTGTTATCAATGATTTGAATGATTGTCAGACTCAATTCTACATCCTCCAGCACTGGTGTGATGCCAATAAGTTATTTCCTAATGTACCCAAATGTAAAATTATGAGTTATTCTAAGAGGAAAACTACCTATCACTTTATTTACCTGTTAAATGGGCTATCTCTGTACCGAAATTAAGGATTTAGGTGTGATTTTTGATTACAAGTTGACATTTGGTAAACATATTGAAGCATTAGTTTTACATTCTATGCAGTTATATGGATTTGTTGTTAGAAACTATAGACATTTCCATAACATAAGGACCATTAAGCTTCTGTATTTTGCTGTTGTGAAACTAATCTCAATGGTCGAAACTCATTTAGAATCAGGCCCCTGGACCTGGACTACAGCCTGCATTCTGTCTAGATGCATCTCGGCTATTAAAGTTGCATAGGTGGCTGCGTCAACGGAAAGCAACCGGTGGGAATATCACAACGTGCTGTGTCGCTTCAGTGTCGCGAAGTGCACGAAACGTAAAATGTTCCAACGCCATCACCAAGACTCGGAATTATTCAACGAGTCATAAGTTGTGAGAGCCGGCCGAAATACAGCGGCTTAGCTGCGGTAAACAATGGATATATATGCATATATAACTGAATAATGGGAGGTTAACTCGAGGAACTAGAAACGCAAAGTTGTTCCTGTTCTCGAGCGGCAACGGACGAGATGCACGCAAGGAGTTGCATGGTAGCAAGGAAACGGAACTTCTGGAACATGATGTTTGACCATTTTTCTTTCACCCGATTAACATATTGTTACCACCCAGGCAAACACGCCTTTATTTGTCAAATTTTGGTAACTACATCCTTGAATGATGTTGAGTTGTCTTGAGAGTTGAATCTTTAGTCAAAAATTGGCAACTACGTACCAAATTAGGGCCCTAAATATACTAAGTGACATATAAATCCGAACACCCAGTTTAAATGGCTTTATTTTAATAAAATTTTGTATAAGTACCTAATGAAGCATAATAAGTATACGTAAATGATGAAAATTTCAAAATGATTGCACTGCTTTAAAGCCCTTTGACCTTTAATAAAGTGTGGATGCACCCTGATGTGCTACGCATTCTTCAACGCGCCTAGGCATGCTTCTGATCAGGTGGTCAATGTCCTCCTGTGGTATCTCATTCCAGGCAACCACCAACTCCTCTCGAAGTGCTTCTAGAGTCTGAGGAGGACGTTGCAAATTGAGCAATCTCCTACCCATCATATCCCACACGTGTTCAATTGGGGATAAGTCGGGAGATCTTGGTGGCCATGGCAACAATGTGACATCATTATGTTGAAAGAAGTCTATTGTGACTCTTGCAACATGTGGTCGGGCATTATCTTGTTGGAAAGTTGGAACTGCCAGGGTGTGAAGATAGGGTAAAAGATGGGGTTCTAGAACTTCGTGGATATAACGCTGCGCGTTCATGTTACCTCTGATGAAGATTGAAGGTAACCTGGAACCATAAGCTATAGCACCCCAAACCATAACTCCAACAGTGTAATGAACATGTCTTTCAACAAAAAACTGTGGATTTCTCCTTTCACCGCGTCACCTTCTAACCCTGGCACGACCATCGTGCATGCCTAAACAAAATCGAGACTCGTCACTAAAGACAATACTGTTCCATTCCTGATCCCAGAGTGACCGTTGTCCGCACCACTCAAGGCGATTATTTCGGTGTTCTCGAGTTAAAGGGAGGACCCAGTGTGGCCGGTATGAAAAAAAGCCAAAACTTCTCATTCGTCGGTAAACACTTCGCATGCCAATAGGTCTTCCGTGTTCTGCAAACCATTCATTTGCAATGGACCTGGTAGTGGAGAAACGGTCCCTTAAGGCGGCGATCTTCACGGTCTGTTGTTCTACGGCGGCGTCCAGTGCCCCTTGCTCTTTGCGTACGGCCTTCTCGAAGCCATGCCTGACAACACCTAACCACAGTGTCTACACTTCTTTGCACTCTAACTGCAATTGCCCGAAAAGAAAGTCCAGCTTCCCGAAGTCCCACTATACGGCCCCTATCAAACTCACTAAGTTGACGAAATCGTACAGATCTCCGTACTCTAGGCATCGTAACCGATCGTAAAGGACGTCAAGAACCAAAATCCGCCAACGTTGATTCTTTACTGCGGCTGAAATATTCGTTTTTAGAGCGTTAGTGAATTAAAAAAAAGCAGTATAAAAACCGGAATGTCCAACTGATAAGGCTGAAAATTTTTTCACTTGTTATTTACAGTAAGATAAATACATTCACCTACTTTTATTAAAATAAAACCATTTAAACTGGGTGTTCGGATTTATATGTCACTTAGTATAGACCTACAAACTGAAAAAAAAACACAGCTCTAAGAAGTATTTGAAAAATTCTTGACCTCGAAGAGAAATCTAGAGGTTATCACTTACCTAATATTAACCTCAACTATGACCTCAACGTTAGGTTATTTCTTGGGAATTTGAGATACACATATCCTCTATTTTTTTCCATTTGACTCTAGCAACTGCCGACTTTCGGTCAATCTTTGAATTTGAATGATGATGGGGAAACCATGTATGGATTTTAAAACCTAATTCTTATTCGACAAGTAAAACACTGTTTGATTTGTATCTTATATTTCTTAGATATTTATCATTAAAAGAACATCAATCACTAAATTTTCTTTCCGAATAAAATTTATTTTTGTTTCTCATCTGCAGTGATTAAGCCTTGGAAGCCTTGCATTAACTGACTGCTCTTTCTACCCTGTCGTCAACTGCTCTCAGTACTTACAACTCATTCTTAGCGTGTTGGAAAGAATCATTATATGTCCATGAAGTT